CTTACATTTCAGGTCTTTGGGACTCCTGCAGTATTAGATGGGCTCCCCATATCTTTCCAGGACACACAAGCATACCCTCAGGCTAACTGCTTGCAAGCCAATGGCTGTATTATTTTAACAGAAGAGATTTAATACCATATCCTCTTTGTACCACAATACAATAACCTCAACAGCCTTAACCGAGGAGCTTACTTCACAGTCCAGAAAGCTCAATTTTTTGTTGTCTTTATCTTAAAAATGAGCTTATTGAACAGGATACAAAGTCAGTTCATTTTATCAATCAATTCTAATTGTAAGAAATTATCTCAAAAATCCTGTCATTGGAAGAAACACCTATGGAACCTTAAAAAGAAGAAAAAAAAAGAGTTTAGAAAGCATTTGGCAGCTAACTAATTGCTTTATATCAAATGTTTGATCTAGTTGTGACTAGATAGATAGTGCTAGCTATACATAGTAGCCAGTCATGGTTTCAATCTTAAGCAATATTGCTTTTAAAAATGTCCTCACTTCAAACATTTGTGATCTGGGCTAATGACTTGCTGAATTCAAAAGCTTTAAATCTGTTTAAAAGAACCAAGTCTGGTATTTCCCATGCAGAAAACAAAAACCAGAGGTATACCACATAGCTCAGCTGCCAATAAGGAAACCTTCACAGAAAATCTTTATGATCCTTCTGATGAGAGCTAACAAAGACACTTTTGTTGTTTGGGTTTTTTTTTCCCCCTTCCCCCAGTCCCTGGCATCTTCTGCTGCAGCAGTTTCAGCTAAGTTTCTAGACAGAAATTTGAAACGCACCTAAACTGACCATGATAATTTTTAGTCTGCCTTGGCTCATATCTGCAAGTGCTACAGACATTTCTTGGAGGTCCCATTGTTTGCTCAGTCCTCATTGCTACCAACCCCACTTTCTTCCTCTTTCCTGGTTTGCTCAACTGTCGTCTCAACTTTTTCTACAATTCAGTGTCTTCTAACTTGTTTCTTTTTCAGTTCTCCTTTCTAAAACCTTTTTTTCTCTACAATTCTGCAAGCTGCTTTTCCCTTCCCCCTGTCTATACCCCTCAAATACTTCTCAACAGCATAACTGATCTCCTCTTCAACAGATCAAATTTAATCTTCACAAATTCACTTTCAGAGCCTGGCCTATTCATTTCCTTTTTGTCTGGCCCCATTTTTTTCCTTCCTGCT